GATGTTCGAACATCTAAAAAATGGTATAATTGACCATTTTTAACGGATTTTTACCCTAAAAAGGTCACCTAGAATTTTCGGGAGCCTTTTTTCTGGCTGAAATTTTCGAAAAGGTTTTCGGAAAGTTTTGATCATTATTAATTTTCGGATCACTAAACTTTCAGCTAGGAAATCCGAACAGATGAAAAATTTTCAGGGGAAAAATATACCTATATCTACCGTTTAAATAGTAAAATACGTTTAACAATGCTATGTTTAAGTGGTTTTGAACTATATTCTCGTTGGGTGCCCCTGAAAACACAGCCCATGTTTTCTGATCATGAAGCTTCCCAAACGGAATGGTGCGAACCATTTGATTTTCCAACAAGAATTTCCGCAGGTTTCCCATGTCCCCCCGGGATTCTAAAGAGTCTCAAGATCAATCAAAATCAATTTTTGAATTTTTCCATAAAAACGCGTCCTTGCATAACGGAATCGGGTCACTTTAAGATTCTGTGAAACGGTCCACCTACCCCTCCCCTAACCCAACATTTTGTATTTTAATGAGAGATTAGTGTTAACGTTGGGTTAGGGAAGGGGTAGGTGTGGAGACAGTGCAACAATGCAAAATCTATCATATTTTAAGAAAAGGGCATTGAAGTGGATTATTAACTCAAAGTAATTAACCTACCTCCCAGGATCTACGATGCGGTAAACCTTTCCGCTCGCTTTCTTGCTGTTTGGAATACTTGTGGACAGGATGTAAAGTTCACCTAGAAAATAATGATTTTATTCTAAGAACAAATGATTGCTTTCGGTCGAGAGAGTTTGTTTGACAACGCAAACTGGTTATACGTATCTACGGCAAGATGTAATAGTTGCACTTTTTCATTGATTGCATCGCTCTGCCATAACTTTCATGTTTGAAAAGGAAAGGAGACAGAAGTTTGAAGTTAAGCATGGTATACCACTGGTCCGGGTTTTGACTGCGATGGACAATAATACTCTTCTCAGGGGGACGGTAGCCTGTGTACAGACGTCCCCTCATCCCTCAGGAAAAAATCGGGAGAGGAGACATCGTCGAAAGTCCGGTCGAAAGTTCGAGGACACGGACCGGGCTTTCGGAGAATTCTAGGGCCTGAGTCGTTTTGTCTTTTATACAATCAGCAACAACAAAACATTTACATTAACGGAAATTTACTTAATAACCATTTTCTGGCACGCAGATAGCTGCAGTTAGCCAAAACGCTAATCGCGGCGTTCCAAATAGATTAGTTAAATTACAGAAAATCGTTGGGTGCCCTTGTTGGGCTCTGACTGGAACGGGAGGGTCGCGCTTACCTTCGCTAAAAACGCGAAAGAATACAAAGGCCTGTTCAATAGACTGCCGAAGAAGCATTATCGCTACAAAGACTTGTTTTAACATCAAAGCTTACCTTGCTCGTCCTCGCCAAAAGACAGAATGTATCGCTCAAACTCGCCACTCAGTCTATCGGTACAATATTTCCCGTCGCCAAAGCAAATCTCTTTTTCTTCCCAACTTCCCTGGTTCTCGGTTAATGTAAACATACGACTTAAGCAAAACAGACATGATTAGCAAATAGGAAAGGTAGTTGCATTCAAAGCTTTCTAAGGAGACATGACTCGCTTTTAACTCTCAGCTTCCCCCTCAAATACCATTTAGTAGAGTGGAACTCTTCAACACAATTAATATGGACACCAAGGGGACATGCCATAGAGTCCGAATTGAAAAGGTGTGCGTAGAGCGGGGTTCCATAGTATTAGTTAGCTGCTGAGTTGGGCTTGGATTTAATTTAAAATTCGGCTATTATGCACTATGTGACATATAAAAAAGAACACACTTGGACACTACCATTGAGAGTTATATTTACTGATGCAATTGGGTTCTACCTTGTGGCCATGGAAACAGTGTCTCGGTGTGACATGTTTTCCGAGTACTTTCTTTTAGTGATTGGTAAGGATTGGTTTTCATCGATTTCGGGGAATAACTATCGCCATTTTCATGAGAAAATAACAAACAACTCTGTTGTATGTATCTGAACAAATTTACAGCCAAACATTTGTCGTTCTTAGAAGTTAGAGTAGAGACATTCGTAACTACGTCATTGCATTGTGTTCACATCTTGCACACGTCAGTGTGGTTGATAAGGGGCAGTTAGAGTCTTGGGGTACTTTCCATTTAACCCAAAATTCCGGAAACTTCAGTTGGTACATCGAATGGAACGGACAACTAATTTCGCTTTGGTCCTACCGGAATATTCAAGACCAGCTTTGAAGGTGGTCCACTTTGAACGGTCCTGTCGTTTCGGTCGGTCGGCCCAAAATGTCCCTTTCCATTAGACAAAACTGTTGTCCCCAGTACCGCTCTTTTGTATCCTGCTTACGGAACAATAACCAAACGCGTGGTGGCTTAGGTCGGGTTTGTGCAACCGGAATGTACTGTCCCATTGAGCACGTGTCATTTCCGAAATTTTTGTTGAATGGAAAGCGCCCTTAGAATTCGAAACGAGCACAGAAATTCCATACTGATGAAGCGTCATTGCTACTGGCTACAACCAATCAGAAGCACTATCCAGAACTGGATAGTGACGCGTCATCAGTATGGAATTTCTGCGCCCGTTTCTCAGACGTAGCCTGCGTAGCAGGCGCAAAAAGGGGAGGGGGAGGGGTGAGGGAGAAAAGGGAAAAGGGAAGGGAGCGCCTGCTCTAAGAGCCTATGTTTTTGCATAACGCCTACCAATTTTCTAGGAATCCGATTACGCTTACTGTCAATCAAGTGTCGCTACACTCGCCATTGCAGAAAAACATTACACTCACGGACTAAAGAAATTCGCTTAGTTATTCAGATCCAGAAGGCACTTTGGAGAAAATTGGAACCCTTATTCAGCCGTAATAAAAAAAGCTTTATGCTTCAAAAGAGGTGAAAGAAATTGCGCTTGCATCAGAGGGCAAATCCTGCCGACCGGAAAGCAATAACTACAGTCAATCGATATGTATGTCATGACCTCTCAGTGTGAAACATGAGGCTAAAATAACATTTGCTCAGTATAAATGCAGAACCTTCCAGAGCATAATCTACCCAGCAGATAAAAACAACTTTATTGGAATAAGCAGCATTTTGGCATGAGGTAGAACCACCCTCTTTTATTGCTAAGTTACCGTATTTATTCGAATAAGCGCCCAACCTCGAATTAGCGCCCACCTCGAATAAGCGCCCATGCTAAAGGCAGAAAAAGTTAATAAGCGCCCAGCCTCGAATAAGCGCCCACCCCACCCACTCCCTCCCACAATAACTCCAATAAGAGATAATAAGAGACCTTCCCGGGGACGGAGTTTTCTTCAGAGTATTTTACAGAAACCTTGCTTTGTTACATCTTCACTTTTTGTTGGTACCATTTACTGTTTGGTTGTAAAATATACTACTACACGTGCTGAGAATGGTGAAAATTTAATAAGCGCCCAGCCTCGAATAAACGCCCACCTCGAATAAGCGCCCACTCTCAAGGTCCAAAAATTTAATAAGCGCCCAGGGCGGTTAATCGAATAAATACGGTACATCGGCGAATGTCATCTTTCGATATTAAAATTGGCTAAATCTTTCGCTGGGTAGCCCAACAATTCCATCTCCTGCAACTGGTCTTCGATAATACTTTTTAGTGGCGAAATGACGAGAATCGCCGCATTACCATTTAGCTCGTAGTTCTTCGCCCGTACAAACATTTGGTAAATTAAACTCTTGCCGTATCCGGTCCGCAAAACCGCCAGAACATCTCTGTCGGCTAAAAGAGCCCTTACTGCTGATTCTTGCTCTGGTTTTAAAACAGTTTCTCTACCACTAGATAAATTCACATCTCTCAAAGCACTCTCTACGACATCCACGTCTACCGCTGCCATCTCGACTGTTTGTTGATTTGCGAAACAGGCATTTCAATATGATAGAACACGTTTCCTCTGTCAAATCGCTTGGAATATTTATTGATGAAAATCTACGGTGGCAAACACACATTGATAAATTATCTAAAAAGGTCGCTTCCGGAATTGGAGCAATAAAAAGAATTAGACCTTTTGTCCCTCCACCTACCCTTCACTATATATACAACTCACTAATTCAATCTCATTTCGATTATTGCAATCTTGTCTGGGGTAATTGTGGTAAAACATTATTTGACAGGCTACAGAAGCTTCAGAACCGTGCCGCTCGCGTTTTAACCTTCTCTAGCTATGATGCTGATGCTAACCGTTTGATTAGACAACTCGATTGGAAAGACTTGAGCACTCAATTTCAAATACAGAAATCCATAATGGTATACAAGTCTTTAAATGGCCTTGTTCCTGAATATTTATCATCTAAGTTTGTTAAACGAAATGAAACGCGTTACTCCCTGAGGGACTCTGTTAACAAACTATTTGTCCCATTTCCGCGAACTAATTTCATGAAAAACAGCTTTACTTATAGCGGAGCAGTTCTCTGGAACAGCCTACCCTGTCATGTGAGAGAAGCCGAATCTCTTAGTCAATTTAAAAGATTAGTTAATGTTCACTTTTAATGTTATACACGGCATTCATGAAAAACAGGTTTTAGTTAGATTAGTTGTAGTCAGGTTTTGAATTTTGTTTAGGATAGTTAGGTTATTTTTAATTTTTTAAATTCCTGATGGATTTTACCGTGTTTAAATAAAGATTGACTTGACTTGACTTACTCATTACGGCTCAGCCAATCAGGAATTTGCGGACGCCAGCGTCCGCAGATATGAACAAAAGGGGGTTCTTAGAGCAGGCGTCCCCTCCCCCTCTCCCCAATCCCCCTCCCCTTTTTCCCTTCCTCCCTATCCCTTACCCCCTACCCCTTTCGACGCCTGCTACGCAGGCTACTCAGACGTCATTTTGCGGGGAAACCAGTGGTGACGTCGCGAAATGTCAGCTTCCTTCTCAGGCTATTAGAGTCTATTTCTGTTAGATAATCGAGCTCGTGGTGTCGCACAGCGAATAATTTTCTAAATTCCAATTTGACCAGGAATCAGGTAGACGACGAACCATTGTGTGGATGCGCTACCTCCAAATCGTTGTTTATAGTAAAAAAAGGTGCCGTTTTTGAAGCAAAAAAGTCTGGAAGCTTTTACGTTACACGGTGTTGGGGATTAGCCTTACACCTAAAAAGGCCATAGTTTGATCATAAAAGGAGAGGATGGATATACGGGTTATTTTTCATGCAGCATGTAAACCGCATTACAATAAGGCTGTGATCTAATTCTAAGTCGTAAACACCTAAATGAACTCATTCTAATTTGAGTTTCAAGGACCTTAGGTAAATAACTTACGAAGTCATGGTATCCCCAAAAATGTACTTTCCACTCAGGTTTGGGTTTTGGCATCCGCGATAAACATAGCCACCAACGATGGACTTACCAATCGAATGGTTGTAGGCGAAAATAGGTGGAATAGCGCCACCTAAATGAAACGAAAGAAAGAATTGTAATATATTATACAGTGACGCTCTCTCTAAGGGTTTGATAACATGAGTCGGCGGGCTGGCTCAATTTGCCGAAATCTCAGCATGTTAATCAAACGCAACAAAAATGAAATTTTTGATTACAAGATAACTGAGCCAGCCTGGTTAGCTAGGATCCCAGTATTGTGAAGTTTGGATCCCTGCTAATCGGGTAATCAACGTAATCTCATTCGGCGAACCATAGTTAATTGAGTGGAATGGTTATGAAACCCGTCAGACTCCTTTGTTATATATTTTTGTGGACCTGAAAGTGCACAACGTTCAAAAGAATTCCTATCATTTTGATTGTATTGACCAATAAAAACGTTGCATTAATTTATTCCGTAACAATTTGCCAACAGAAAACAAAGGATTGTGCACTTTCACGGTGCTTTGAACATAAACTACAGCACTGTTGTTTTTATCATTGATGTTTGCCGCTTTTCATAACCAGTCTCCTCTAATAACTATGGGCGAACCAAACAAGCAACAGCACTGTACAGCGCCGGGTTACACACTGATCCTGAGCACACAACTCCAGGCTGTCTCCTTTCTAACAAATAACAGAAAAAAAAGAATTCCGATAAGCTGCGTGGCAATTGACTAAGTAAGTAAGGGAATGTTCAACAAAAAATAATGAACAAAAGTCCCGTGTAGTGTTTTGAGTTCCTCTCCAAACGTTTCGGGCGTGGCCTTTCGTCATCATTGTCTCCTTTCTACTTTGAAGAAACGACAGTGGTGTTATGGTTATCATGGCGGCTTCCCAAGCCGTTGATCTGGGTTCGATTCCCGGCTGTCGCAAATATATACTTTTAATTTTTATATCGCAAACTGCAAATGCAATTTTATGGACTATCATCTTTGATGATGAAGGACTTTTGTTTGCTCAACAGCACCAATTGTCTCCTCCGTCCTGGAACAATTATACTTATTCTTAAACTTATAATTGCAAAGACAAAGATTAGAAAAACTTTTTACGGTAAAGTCGGTTTTACAATTAAGCTATAAAACTGTCGGTACATCTGAAACGTAAAATACTTTGTTTTAAGTGTCTATTGTGTGTCTTTTAAAGTAACTGCAGAGTAAAGGCTGGATAACGCTCAAATCGTTCATGGGAAACTCTACACCCAAACCGCTACAAAAATGCCATACTGGTGGCGGATAAGACAACAGGCAGTGACAGAGTGCACAACCGTTCTTTCACAACGAGATTGACTTACGTGATAACAAAATGATAGCTCATCGTTAGCCTCATTTTAAACCAGAGGCTAGTGGGGTAACATTGAATTGGCCCATTATGATTTCATCCGCGCGAAGTGTACGGATTCCCACATTCGGCATATATATCTCACCGTAACCTATGGTACGGAAAGAAGAGACCTTGGCAACAAGGTTGTAACGAGAGACGTGAATAATATGAACAGATTTCATAGGAAACATTCGTACGATATCATGAAAGATATTAATCATCGTGGATAATGTGTACAAAGGATTTAGTTTTATCGTTTGTCTCACGATTGTGACTTTGATATTGAGTGATCGCGACGTTTCGACCACGCTCTGCAGGCCTTTATCAGTTTACGGAGTCGAACTATTTGTACCACCGTGGTTATTAGTGATTGGTGTATCACAAACCTCGCTCATTGTTGGGGTTTCTATCCATAGTTCGACCCAGTAAATCGACTCTATCGCCTGATGAAGACCTGCAGTGTGCGATCGAAACGTCGCGATCAATATAATATCAAAGTGATAATCGGGAGACAAACGATAAAACTAAACCCTTTATATTCGTGTGGTACTTACGCAGCAATGGTGAACTACACAGCTTCTTGTCGTAACAGCTAAATCCCTCGTATCCTCTCCAGCCGTAATTTCCGCCTTTTTCTATCAGGTCAATCTCCTCGTATTTGTTCTGCCCCACATCACCGCAGAATATCCGCCCCTTTCCTTCTCCCGTCTTCCTATCGCCCCGGTCTACTGAACATCGCCACATGTTCCGGGTGCCGTATGCAAAGATCTCTGGTTTTACCCCTGGGATTCCCATGAACGGGTTATCCGCGGGAATTTTGTAGAGATAACCTCGAGCGTTGATGTCGATGCGAATAACACTTCCGAGAAGAGTGGTCCTGAAAAGGAAATGACAACGAACGTTAAAATAACCATTTCTGAATGCAACAGGCATCTTTGCCACTTGTCTGCAGGGTTTTTTAAGTGTTGCTAGAACCTTAATGAAGCGTAGATAACAACATGGTTTTCTTTTTCACACTTGTCTTTTCTTTGTAGATGGCCGAAAATTGAAGATGTTAGAATAAAGGGAGAGAGTAGTGCCAAACTTCTTTCACCATTTTAGTTGGGGAAGTGCGAACGCTTTTGTCCTTGTCAACCAACGTTGCTGCCGTGACTTCAGTAGTAAACCAGCAATGCAAGAGGACTACGGACTACACATGGGCGAAATTTGATCTATGTAAATGTTGGCAACCGCAGTCTGACGGCCCTTCTTTTGTAGAGATTTATTTATTTACAACACAACCTGATAAGTTGCATTATGTATTAAAGGAAATCAGAGGTTTCGGATTCCAGGTACTGGGTTCGCTGTCAGTGAAACTTGGATTCCGGATTCCAAAGCCCAGGATTCCGGATTCTACAAGCAAAAAATTTCCCGGATTTTACATGGGACGAAAATCAGCCAATAACAGCACTCACCTGTTTAAGCCGTTTCCAATCTCTCCGAATGGATCTCCAGCTCGCCCGCCATCCCCTAGGGTCAGGTATAGGAATCCATCAGTCCCAAAAAATAAAGTTCCTCCATTGTGATTACGCTCGGGCTGATCAACTTCAAGAATTACTTCTTCAGAGCGCCGCAAGCCTCTGTTGCGATTGTAAACCGAAGCCCTAAACTCACTCAGCACTGTTCTGTGATCATAAGCCAGGAAAGGTGCTTTAGAAGTCTTCCTGCCACCTTTTATTCTCTTATAACGGGTGGAATAATACACGAAGAATCGGCGATTCCTTTTAAATTCGGGGTGGAAGGCTATACTCAGAAAACCGCGCTCGTCACCGACAGATCCCGAAGATAGGACACGATCGCGGATATCCAAAAACGGTTGCTGCAGCAGTTTTCCCGAAGCTGTGATGATACGGATTAGACCTGGCTGCTCCGCGATGAATAACCTCCCTGAGCCATCCCCCGCGTGGACTGCAGCGAGAGGATTGCGGAAGCCGCGCGCGATCTCCTCCACGCACAAACATCCGTTATTGGAATCAAGGTCAAATTTTTTGGCAAGAATATTCTCATCGACCGTTTCAACATTTGGGTAACAGTAATCTGGATCTTGTATCTTTAGTCCTTCGCACAGCCCTTCCTCCGTTAAAGGATTAGATATATTTGTTGCTGGTGACAGTGATCGAAGTTCCCACTTGAGCAAACGAGGAAAATCTATCGCTATGTCCTCACATTCCTTGTAAAACGCTTTACAGAATTCAGGGCATAATCCTGGGGGTGCTGTTGCAAGGTTAAAATTCTCGTTACCTTCCGCTGAAAAAATATGAGCTGCATATTTGTGGCATTCGAGGCAAAGAATCGTTTTCACCATGTTAGCACACTTCCCCCTCGTGTTTAGATTAAAGCGCTGCTCGAGCGCCTTTGCTTTCTTCGCAATTTCTTGATCGCGTTGTAGCGTACAGCAACCATAGTCGGAGTAGTTTTGAGAACAGAATGACAGGCCTGCTCCCGCTTGAAAGGGTGCTTTAAAATCCAAACATTGAGGATGGCTGTAGACTAAGTTCGGGTTCAGCAAGGTGTAGGACAGAGCAGCAAAAAGTAAGTGAATGGTGATTGAAAGCAACAACATTGTGCAATAAATTGTTCTGTCGCACCAAAACACTTGCAATTTGAGATGACTTCCGGTTGCATGGGATTAGAAAAGTTATGAGGGGTGGGGAATTTTCAAGCAGCAGGAATTTTTTTTCGTTATCAAATTCCTTGTAAGAATATTTTTTAGGTCATAGCTTGAATATTTTTTAGGTCATTTAATTTTCCCTTGAATATTTTTTATATATAATTATTCTATTATGGTGGGAGGAATTTTTTTTTTTTTCATTTCCTTGTAAATTTTTTTTAGGCCATAGCATGAATATTTCTTAGGGTTAATTAGCGCGAATTTTTTTTTAATTTTCCCTTACGCGAATTTTTTTTGTACTTCGCCCGCCCCCATAAAGTTTTCTACTGGTCCGTCCCTAAGCTAGGGATGATTGGGATAAGTATCCTCTTTCAAAGGTCGCGTCTCGTGCCTCTTCGCGTTCAGCTGATCGCGCGCGCATGCGACGGGCGCGTGTGCACCTCATTTCCTGTGCGCTATCCCTGGGGCAGTTCAGACGTACTGTCTACAAGAGCCCATAGGTATACTGTATGTCAATACAAGCCTGTACTGAATACTATTTCATATTTTTTACTTCTAGTCAATCGAATAAATTTAACTGTACGTGTATGATCAGTTCAGTGAAACAAGGGAAATTCTGAGCCTCCTCAAAGCCTTTCTTAGAATAAAAGGCTTAAAAGATGCCAGAATTCTCCATGTTGCTCAAACTGAAAGTGGGTTTGTCCTATAGGTGATATATTATTTCAGATACTTTTCTGAAACTTGCCAACGCCGGGAAAGACAATCTGAGAGAAAAATTCGCTACTTGCGTATTTCCTATATACACCTTGTTTGCTCCCTCCGACCCCTCCTCTCCCCGCCCAGCCCCCCACGCCAAATTTTGCTAAAGCATAGGGCTGTCTTCATTTCTCTTTGCTAAGCCCCGTTGATTCACCATTGATTGAAGAGGTTGGAAAATAAATGATTCAAGGTTTTCAAATTTTCTAAGGTATCTTGTTGCAATTCCACTTGTTCGTTCGTATCAGTTTTCCTACGCTTTTGTCCTATACTTTTGTGCTAGGATCTGAACTTGCAGCTGTGAAGTGAGGCTAAACTCAGACAGCAACAAAAAAAGAAGCTCATGGAAAAGTTTTTGTATATCTTAGGGTTTTACCATATCTGTTTTTTTTTTCCTTTTTTCTTACCGTTTTTAGTTTCTAATTAATTCAGTAGGATTCGGGCGGGTGTAGCTTTGTGCTTTCACGGATATATTATTGTTATTTGTTTTCATACATTTATGATATTTTTAAATTATTTTTTATTCAAATGCATTATATCTTTATTGACTTAGTATTTTTATTGTCATGCGTTTTATACATGAGCCTCTGGCTTGGATGATCGGGGCAACCCCATCCCACGTATTGACGTAAATAAAAAGATTGATTGATTGATTGATTGATTGATTGGTCTATAGGGCTCTTTCAGTAGCAAAAATAAAACTTACCCACTCACTTTATATGCTAATGGCTTTAGATGGAGGTGTTGACTTCAGTCTTTTGACAAACGTATTTCTCGACTTAACTCGGAGTCTACAGCAGGAGTATTTAAAAAAATGAAAAGTGCATATGAAAGGATCGTCGTTGCTTCGTAACAGGAGCGGAGCTCAATCTAGTTCGTAAACAGAGAACTGATGTTCGAAATCCGATCACTATGGTGATCTGCATACAAATTAAAAAAAGCTTTTTTTCCCCTTGGTGGTAAAAGTACAGTGTGTTAAATGCACGAAAATGTCTTGATATATAAGTTTATTACGATCAGTGTATAACTCAAGCAAAAATCACTCTCAAAAATTTTGTTAAAACATTGTTCATATCGAGCGTGCGCGCTCGCGCGGGCAAAAGCTGACTAGGACCCAGTCTCTTATCACAAAAACACAAAATGGCAGCAGTGGACAGCGAGTTACCTGTTGTGATTCTTGGAGCTGGAATAAGCGGTAATGTTTTTTTCGCGAAAGGCGAGGAGGGGCTTCGGACTTGGAGCTAAATATTGGATATTTCAGATTTCAGACTTTAAACCTCAGACTTTCGACGTGAAAGCGATCATTGGGATCATAAATTTGGGGGGATTTTCATTTACACACAGCTGATTTCATAAGATGGTATTAAAGGCGTATTGTTCCTGCTCGTGCTTAATACTATTCAAAAAATGACACACTGTTCGATAAGCAAGCATTCCCGTAGATAATAGATAATTAATAGGGGGTAATTCGAGGTCGGGATATTGCTTTGCGTATTCTTTTCTAATTTGATCGAAGTTTGAATTTTGATACCCACACCACCGCCCCCTTCCCCTCGATGGGTAAGGAGGGGAGGGGGGGTGTAGGGGGTTGGGTACTTCCCAGTAGTAGGCTAATGGGTATGTGCCCCTGGATGGGGTTGCATTTTCACGACTGGATTTACTATTATGGGGTTGCATTTTTATAAGAATTATTACTAGAATGGGGTTGCACATTTTCAGGATTTCAGGGGTCAGATAATTCAGGTATGTAGGGCGTTAAAAATAGAACGATTTACACCGCAGTAAGTTTAACAAATGTGTCAGTTCATTTCAGGATGACTTAAAAGGCTTTATAAGGTAGATGCATAAACAGAAAGTGACTAAGATGAGATTGTGAAAAGTACTTTTTTCCCAAAGTGACTAAGATGGGGTCTATAATAGCCACAGAATACAATAAAATGGGGTAGGGGTTCTGAGAGGCAAGTGGCACATACTATTACAGCTGCAAGAAGAAGCTCTAGGTGTTACAAGGAAATGCTTTCTTGAACAAGTACATCTTAATAAATTGCTCTTATTCCAGAGGGTAATTTAGTTTTCCATAATTTAGGTGCTGCTACTTGAAATGATTTATCTCCAAGAGTGTTCTTGGTCCTAACCAGTGGTCACTTTAACGACAGTTCCTTGCTCAAATCTAGGTTATATCGTGTCCGTTATTTAATCTTGATTAAGTTACAAATAGGATGGTGCAACAGCATAATTTGCCTTAAAACTTAGGATCAATATTTTATACTCAACTCTCCTTGAAAAAAACCTTCTGCAGTTCAACTCTCATTGGGGACCACCTCCCATAAGCGACCACTAACTCTTTGGCTTTTAAGTGGTTGCCTATTGGAAGTAATTTGACAGTACTCTGCAAAATTATTCCAAAGATATGAAGTCTGATGTCTAAAGTCTGAAGTATGAACCTCTGAATTTTTAAAGTTTCTTCAGTCCCTCTTACTTGTTTTATTGACCTTTAATTACTTCCGTCAAGTTATGTTTATTTACATTGTGAGATTTCTTGTAGGTCTGTTTGCAGCCAGAGTGCTTCAGAAGGAATACGGAGTTGATGTTGTAATCCTTGAAGCAAGAGATAGAACAGGAGGAAGAACTTTAACTCAGACTGTGAGTAAGATCAGCCAAATCTGAGTTAAATAAATATGCTTTCTTGATCTGGAATAATATAGATTTTCTTTCTTTTTCCAACGTAACTTGTGCATGAGGTTTCTTTCCTCTTTGACTTTCATACATGACACAGTCCACTGCATGGTCTTACAGATAAGTTTTTTATTTCCCCTGGTACCTTACGGAGGTATATAGTTTTCTTCAGGGTAAGACACAAAAGAAAAAATAATTTTGTCCAATTAGGTGCAAAAAGTTAATGTAACTGTCCTGGAGCTCTGAGCTACAGTGTAGCTTAAAGTCTGTTTTATAATTGGCAGGGCTCAAAATAACTAGTTGTCAACAGACTATGCCTGGTGAGAATGGCGACATGACTGGCTGAAAGCTCCAGTCTGAGGGTCATGTTTACCAGTGATGCATACTCTTCTTTCTCTTCGGTAAATCTTAGATTGTGCCTCTTTATAAAAATACAATCAGCTTGCAACAACATCTTTGGAATTTGAATTTTGCCTCCAATTGCCCAGTGGCTCCTTGTCGACTGAGCTGTCAGATTTCCACCAATTGGCGCAAAGCAGAAATGAGCTTGAATGTAAACAAACATTGAAAAACATGTGAAAGATGGAACTGTTGTCATAACTAATGTCATCTCCACCAATCAACATGATGCACAGACTTTTTCGCTGCAGATTTTTTTAATTCCAGAGACGTAGTTGCAAGCTCTCCTTCCTTTTCCCATTGCGCCGCCAGAGTGCCCTGGAGACCTTGCTCAAAGGCTAAGATTAAAATTAAGGTTGGCCCTCAAGTTAGCGCTAATCAGCCTTTGAACAACTGGGCCCAGGAGAATTTGCATGTGGATATTTGGGATAGGCTTAATAAAGGCTAGCTATACTTAATGCATGGTTATTAAAAGTTTTATTTGATGCATCATTATTACAGAAAACAATACCGTACTCTGTACATTTACAGGACCCTAGCTATGGATATTGTGACTTGGGTGGGGCTTATGTGTGTGAAACTCAGACAAGATTATTGAGACTTGCCCAGGAGTTGGGTGTGGAGACATACCAAGTATATGGCCAAGGAAACACAGTGGAAAATTACCTGGTACGTTTTATCTCAGATATGATGAGATGTTCTGGACTTTACCTACTTCTACTTCACTATTCACTCACCAGCCAAGAAAATGCCTTCTTCAACAGAATTCGTTTTGTCTTTATTAACAGTTACTAGTATAATGATACAATATTATACTAGCACACTATTAGACCTGAAATTCCTTAACAAGTTGATTAAGTGTGCAATAATATTATTAAAGCCAATTCTTTGTGCTAAACATTTATGATAACTACATAGCAAGCATAACTAAATCCGACTCAATGAGATACAATGTACAAGTAAGGAAAATGTACATTCAGCATGGCTGCAGTTGCACCTAATGAAATCAGTGTGTGATTCATTAATAGGGGAAAAGAGTGACCAAGCAAGGGGCCCTTCCATCTATGGGATCGTTATTAGGAGCTCTGGATGTTAACAACTTCTGGCAGCTCCTAGACAACATGTGCCGCAAAGTTCCATTGGAGGACCCTTGGAATGCTGCTTGTGCATTAGAGTGGGATGCCATGACAGTTCAACAGTTGATTGATGAAAAGTGTTGGACAAGGTAAAAATATCACAGAAGTAAAAAGATAAAAAGTTGTTGAATGAGCCAATCATATCTTAGGTACTAGACTAGAGATACATTATATAGCTTCTTGACAGGTTGGTACAGTGTAGTTGGGACAGTTAAATTAGCATTTCTGATGATTTTTAGACAGTCTGTCTACTTCAAAAGGGAAAGCAAGCTTTCCCTCCACCGTTTTCCCAAAACAACGTTGTGCCAAAGACACCCAAGGCAGCAAACGTTAATGTACTTAGCTAAGTTTGGTTAGAAGGAGCCGGGGAGGGGAGATTTTGTAGATCGAAACAAAAAATTGATTGGAGTGTCCCAATAATTTTGCTGCCAAACTGGAGCTGTTTAATGTACACCCTCATTAAATGAAGATTTTTTATGCACAGTATTCCAGATTTACTGAGGTATTTTGAATGTACTGTTGTGTATGCTTTTTATAGCAAATGAAGGTATTCAAATGACAGTGGGTGCCATTTTCCCAAACTATTGTACTAGTGCAGATAATCAGTAGGTGAGGTAAAGAAGGTTTAAGAAGGCCCTACTAGTGAGGAAATTTCCATCTGTGAATGTAATTGAGGTAAATAATTAATAACAAAATGACTGCAGAATATTGATGGTAAGATGTGGGACAGGGTGTCATTATGTGATCAATAAGGAACTCGCACTCTTGCTTCAAAGCCATATAAATCAATAATTATTGTTTTCTTTGATGAGTCATATGTCCCATTATTAATGAAAATCGTTTGTGTTACTGAATTTTGTCATGTATATCTTCTAATTAGAGTTGTAAAATCCATTTGTATTGCCACATAGATATGGAAAGGCTGTTGCCACTGCATATGTACAGGGAATTCTTACATCAGAGCCTTGTAACATTTCACTGTTGTTTTTCCTGTGGTATCTACACTCTGGAGGAGGTGAGCTTAAACACAACTGAACTATGGATGCCAAACTTCATTCAAATTGAATCCTACAGGTCTCATGATGTTCCACCTCCCTGTACTACCTGGCAGACATTTGGCTCTGTGTCTTTGGTGGCAGATAATTGAAAGATACTGAAGCTGTTTCTCTTTTTCCATGCAGGCATAAAACGTAACATAGAATTTAAAGGTGGTGGCGCTCAGGTTTGTAGTAAACTACTTGAAAATCTTATTACAAAAGGCTAGTACTATTAATTCAGTATTTAAAGGAATTTTTTGTGTCTACTTAATAAATTAAAGTATTCATTGATTTTGAACAACCTAGGAAATGAAATTCTGTGGAGGCTCTCAAACTATCAGCATTAAAATGGCCCAAGAGCTTGGTGGTAAGTTTGAAGTAGTGTTGGTGTGAATTAATGTTAAATTGTTAAATGTGCTTCCGAAGCTGTGTGGCAGGCGTTCAAAGTGGAAAGAACCTTTTTTTGCCTCAATATCGATATAGAGATTCTCTTCACTGATCAGTGTACAGTCCTTTAAAGAAATAGTTGAGAGAGAATTTGGAGAAAAGATTCAAGCATTATTCCTTTGGTGATCAACTACTCTCGTGATGATCTGTAGAAATTGTTAGGAGAAAATTAATGTTGGTCACTCTTAGGGCTATCGCTAGAACACGATAGGCTCTCCTCCTTCACACGCCCTTTTGGTACTTGTGCCGCTTAATTTCTCCTAATCCTTGCCCCTAAAACTCTATAGTGTTTGCGTCGCTAAAGAGCCAGACTGAACGTATCAAAATCCGTAGTCGTCTGCCACACGTAGCCTCCTACAATATTGGGGACAGCAAGTAAATCTCTGGCGGAAATCAAATTTGTTCTAACTAGAATCGGCCTTACTGACACATCCTGTAGGTAATGGCCCATTTAGCCCCGTTCCCAGGTCATTTCGGACTGGCCTTTTTTTTAAGCGCCCCAGGCGAATTGACGTTATTCACGATACCCGCCATCTTTGCGCGTGCTTAAGGACTGCTGATAAATGAAAGCAATGTCACATAGTCTCTCAGGTGGGCTGAAATACCACGTGACCGGCATTGCTGTTATCCCATTGATCCTAAAGGGCGTGCAAAAATGGCGGGTATCATGATTAACGTCTATTCTCCCGGCGAGCTTGACTCGTGACGTCAAATCCGAACTCCCTCTGAAGCTAGTGACTAGTACCCTGGGTGCCAGAGACTTTTCTAGCGCGGTTTCCGGTTTCTGTCAAGTTTTTCTCGTGGTCTCGCCGCCCGTGGCTTCGGCCTATGCCGAAGATGTGTCTGCCTTCGGCCAACACCGAAAATTCCCGCCGCACGCGAGAAAAACCTCTGGTACCCAGGGTAAGTGACTAGTGACCCATAAAATTACTTGCATTGAATTTCAGATAGAGTAAAGTTGAAGAGTTGCGTTGTTGGAATCAAAGAATGTGTAGATCATGTAAAAGTCTTATGTGGTGATGGATCTGAATACAAGGTTTGCAACTTGCCGAATATATTCGACTTCTTATTTCTTACTGTAGCAGTAATAGCTCAGTCAGTAGAGCGCTTGACTGCAGAGCGGGAGGTCGCGGGCTCGATTCCCGAAGCCAGAACAATACTCAGGACTGAGAAATGAAGGTACTTCGTTTTGCCCTGACAACGCTAGAACTTCGCGTTGCTCGAATGACCACGTAAAATGGCAGTCCGTCTCCAGTAGAAGATGTCCCAATTAGTTCTTTCATGCTTAAGTCATTGTCACTCCAAAAAAAAAAGAATGGTATTTTTTTGTTTTTGTTTTTCTCGTGGATCGGTTAAAACTCTACAATAGCTTTCTTTCCTTCTTTTCTATGCGTGGGCCCTTGCCGCATTTAAGTGCTCGCGTTCACGTGTTAAGTTCTTGACATCTTTTCCTTTCGCTCCAGGCATCATTTGTTATAAGCACAATTCCTCCTGCACTTCTTGGACGAATCAGTTTCAATCCTCCCCTTCCAGCTCCGAAAAATCAGGTGAGAATTTAGGTGAAAGTATTCGCAACTCCCGCGCTTGGCTCAAAGTGGCGTATACCTTCTTAGGCCTAGTCCACACGAATCCGGACATTTTTGAAACCGCACTATTGTTTTACCCGAATTGTGCCGGGATGGAGGTCGTAATAAAAACACTCTAGAATGCGGTCAGTTGCGGTTAATAGTAACTATCCTTAGATTAGTGTAATATGTAGATTTAGCCAAGGCGAAAGGCAAAGCTTTCGTAAATTAATTGATAATTTGAAACAAACAATAAACTGGTAACCAGTGCAATGAAATCCAGTGGGAGTTGAGCCTGCGATCAGTTGAAAACAAGTGCTTGTCAGCGAATAACTTCGAAAAACACGTGACCTCGATGTGGTCATGTGATACTGGTCAGCGGATATCCTGTTTTGACCGCTGTCAATTGACCATAACATGGATGTGTAATGTCAGGTTGCAGGTTTCCATACTAGCTAGAAAGTGTGAGATTTCACATTGGCTGTACTGTGGTGCGGAAGGACAGGTGGAAGGGTGGAAGCACGGACGGACGGACGTTTGCACAAAATTTCTCGAATGGATATAACCATGGAGTTCCTGCGCGTGGACCTCCGCTATAATTGATCTATTTGTACTAAAAGATTCTGTGCACTGTTTTCTTGTAAAAACAGTGATAGTAGTGGCTGTTGCTTAAAATAATTGAATTGAAATTGCTTTCCTTTCACTGTCCAGGCTATTCAAAGAATTCCTATGGGATCCATTATAAAGACTGTTACGTACTATAAACGGCCATTCTGGAGAGAAAAAGGTACGACTTAAAGAGAACGAATAATTTGAATTGAATTTTTGAAATGGGAGTGCATCGAATCTAACAACAACAACAACAACAACCTTTATTATTATTATATCCAACTAGAGAGAAGTTTTACATTTCGCGATGGCTAATCAAATGGAAAGAAAAAAGTTTGTTCCATAACATACATATGTGATAAGAGGATGTCTAGCAGCTAAATTATCAAATGTTTTCGTGCTATAAGCTCCCAGCTATTATTAAAAACAATATTTTTAACACAGTGGTGACAATCACAGGTGTAATGGTAGTAAAGAAAGAACAAAGGAAATAAATAAATAACTCACACACTATACATTATTATGGAGAAAAGAACGAGTATGGTCAACTTTCAAATTGTCTATTCACTAGATATTGTATTAGTAAGCGAGGGAAGGAGGAATTTGGGAGGTCTTTCAAATGATGAGGAAGATCTTTCCAGAGGTCAACATCTATAGATTGAATTGACCAATATTCGTTCTTGTGCGTCGTTTATAAGAGTTCTTTATAGGGCATATGGTGTATTATAATTATGTACTTGATCGGCAAACTGAAGATAATTTTGAAAAATGCTTGGCAACTCTTTTCTGTGCCACTGTTTTACTATCGTGCTGTTCATGACAAATGGTGCTTATTCAAACTACCGCCAGTTGAAAGTGGATGAGATACTTACGCAAAAAAAAAACACTTTTCTAACTGTTATGCGCCAAAGAGGAAGAATATATGCTTACGAATGCAACGAATTTCCCCTCCACTGTTGTCATTTGCAAGTGCATCATATGATCTTGGAATCCGCCTTACAACTTTATTAACGAGGGAGAAAGCCACAAATCACGCCAAGTTTGTCAAACACCCTTACACCACTGCAGTAGAACCTCTCGTAACAACCACCCAAAGATTAAGTGGTCGCTTACAAGAATCGACCGACAGGAGGTATCTTCCAGAAGAGGTCCGAACACATCTGCATTTTGGAAGAGAATTCATTACATGTAATTTCTAGTTTGCGATATAGTTGTTGGTCAATGTTCTCGCTTAAGTTCTTCGCATACTCTGATTAGTGAAGTACATACGGCGAACGTAGAGAGCAAACATTGCTGCGAGGAGTCGCCTATACAGGAGGATGAAAAAAGTGAATAGAAAATTCTAAACCCGTCATTCACAAAAACTGGTCGCGGTCGCTTATGAGAGTGCATTCACGTAAGCAAACTACCCCAATATGATTGCGTGAGAGGATACCAGGGACCTGAGTAGGAGCGATGGTGAAGCGTTTTGTTTGGAAATAAATCTTCAAAATCTTTATGAATGTCCCGTCCAATCTGGTAGCCGAGGGGGTGATGATGATGATGATGATGATGATGATGAGAGGTGGTCGTTTACGAGAGGTTCCAGCTATAGAGTGATTTGACTTGAGAAATTTTGGTGTTTCGGGTAGGCGGTTGCTTATGTGAGGTGGTCGCTTACGAGAGATGGTCGCACATGGAGGTTCGACTGTATAAGTTTATAAAGTTTCAGTGTCTCGAACCTTTTTTGCAACTGGTTGTAAATTAAATCGCCTTATTAGCTTAATGTCATCGTCCTTTGATCGATGAGCTTTTCGTTCTTCCGGCGTTGTGATTATAATGGAAGACAACAACACTTGCATGAAGACCTTTTTATCGCCTGGCTAAGTAAATTTCAAACTTTTAACTTGCGGTCCGACTTTCGGGGCGCAGAACGCTTCTATATTCAAGATATCTACTGCTTCCATTTCACGGTTTTTTATCACTGGCAAATAGCTTGTGGTGATGATGAGACGAATTGTATTGCGTAAACCTTCACTTTTTCAGTTGAATTTAAGTAATATGTATAACTCACTGATAATTTCAAACTATTTTTCAGTCTTTTAACTTTTTGTAAAAACATCGACGTCATTCTGGATTCATTTTAAGTACCTTATTAACTAGCTAGTGTGATTGGCTTTTTTTAGCTCATTTACAACCAGACTGGAAAAAAGTACATTTTCTTTCTCTTCAAGGTCTCGCTGGTTATTTTAATTCCGACGAAGGCCCAGTGGAAGAGGGATATGATGATACAAAGCCAGATGGCTCACATCCAGCTATTATGGGGTATAGTTTCCTTTGTTTGGCCCTTCAAGTTGTATGGTTTGCCTTTTTAGATTAGCCGACGAACATTCTATTTTAGGAAGGAGAAAATCCTTTCGAGTAGTCTGTTTCCCTGAGTAAAAACGTCTTTTCTCCTTATTCTTTTGGCTTAAAATTCTCCATCACATTTGAATTCTTAAATGTTTCTGGTCATGAATGACCACAGAATACGATGAAGATGAGTAGAAATACACTGTTCACAGGCCTATTGTTGAAAGACCTTTCTGACGTGGACTAGCTGAAGCCTTTCTACAAACCAATACAACTTCTTTGACTCAGGACTTTTATTCGTTTGTTGATTGTGAGTTACAATTCTCTCTCTATTCTCTATTCACTCTCTCGTAAATTAGTGTTACACCCATTTTTAGTCTAGCCAGAAAACCATCTGCTAAGTGTAAACTAATGCTGACGTAAGTCTAATCTGATTGGTTGAGACAACCTTATTAGCATGGAACCTTCGAGATAATTACTTTGTCAAAATGGTTTTTCTACCTACGTTTTCGCCATTAAGCTTAGGTTAACTGACCAACAGAAAACAAGGAGAACAATATAAAAACTACAAAGTATCTAGTCGTACTCAAACTTTTCATAACAACAGATAGGAAAGTACTAAAATTACAGTTTGAAAATCTTAGGTTGTTGTTGATTTACAGAAGGTGTTAAGCTTCTTCATCGAAGATGATTGGCTAAAAATTTTCCATAAATCAACCACGGACGTGATCACAAAACTCAGAGTGTAAATTAAAATGCAGTTCAAAGCACAAGGCAGAAGTTAGAACAATAGTTGTTTAACCACAAAAACACCTATAAAATCACTTAAATGTAATTAAAAACTCAAAGAAACACGCTTAAAACTGTTAAAAACAAGTAAGGTAGTCATTTCCTGGTAAATATCGACGGAAGACCAGATTAAAGGTCAAAAATGTTAAACTGAACAAAATACTTAATATAAACAAGGCTTTGCCATCTGTCAAAGGCTCTAATTAAACATATTTCATGAACAGAAGTGTTACCGCGGAGATGCACTAAATTGGTACATCTCCTTAAATCCTTTGCACCGAATTCATGTCAGAAGAAACTGTCTATCGATGATCAATTAACTTAAAAACAAAAACTATTAGTAGTGAAATAGCTTACTCAAATCAATCAACAAGAACGCTTACAACAACCCCACTACAAACGTATATCAACTTCGATCAACATTTTCCTTCAACTAGACCAAGGAGAATGAATCAACAGAAATCATTTTCTCATTTCGGGAGAGGATGTCATTTGATCAGTGTTAATGCGTAGGAGTTGAACACCAAGTAAAATAAGTCAAACTGTTTTTTATGATATTTCCCGTCACCTATATATGGATATTTCCGAATCGAATAAATTTTGTAATAAGTCCCAAACACCAAATAAAATGCCTTTAATTATTTTAAATCAAACACATGCGCACTTCGAACATTTTTCGTCGCTTCCATTTTTATTGTTTAATACCATGAGCGCCTAATTCCTCTAAAATTAGGCTCGTTTAACAGCCGCTGTTCGGGATATGAGCCCGCGCTTTTCTCAGGAAGGAACAAGGTCGAGTCTACTTCGCGTTGGAGATCAACTAAAAATTCATGTTTGAGATTAGAGAAAGACGTTGAAAAATAATTTAAGCGTTTTTTTGTTATTATTTTAATATTCTCTCGCTGACGCAGCCGTTTTTGTGTCGTCATTCAAAACTCCTCTGAGCTTTGCGAGATAAAGAGATAAAGGCGGCTGCAAAAGAGACTAATTTTTGACGAAAAGGTGAAAGAAAAATGAGAAGGGAAAGTCGTAAAAGGGACGACAGAGGAAAGTAACACCGGTTACAATAACCAGTTCCCCGTCTCCTCTTTTCCCCCTCTCTTCGCAATTTCTCAACCCCCCCGCCCTTTCGCATTTACGCCTGGGTTGGTATATTGCCATCATGACACGCTTTTTGTTTTTATTTCATAGATTTATTTTGGCAGATCGAGCACGGCAGTTGACTACTTTAACAAAACAAGAAAGGTACGCCAGTGCTTTTTTTTCCCTGACACTCTGCTCGTTAGGAAATGTTGAATAACGTACTTATTTTTCATTTTAACAGACAAAAACTTGTTTGTGAACAATATGCGACTATTTACGACACAGACGAAGCCCTAGAGGTACAATTTAATACCTTAAGTCAGCTTTCTAAATAGTTACTCAACCTTTATCTCCAGTTTGATTGTTAACTAATTTTCCCCCTATCCTGCTAGCAGAGACTTTCTTTCGCCTGCTCGATTTTGGCAGCGCACTCGAGAAAGACTTCGCATGAATCGAGTAAGAAGTTTGTTGAAAATGTGCTGCTTGTTGCTGAGATACAGTCACGAACTGAGGCCTAATAGCTATGCACTAGGTGCAGCGTGCAACTTGTTTTGCAACACAGCTGTAAAACGAGTTGAAAAGCAATTTTGTGCCTTTTACCACCCGTCTTGCAATAAATCAGGCTGTTGCAAGTTGGGTTAATGCTGACTTGTGATTGGATAAAATTACGCGGCAGTCACCCCATGTACGGGAGTTACGTCACTTTCTGCAAAATAATTTTGCCTTGAGCCGGAAAACGCGCAACGTGTACAGATTTTGTCGCAAAAAGTAGAACTAAACTCTACTCTCTGCGATAACTTTTCCGCGCACCCCGCAACTGAACGACTCGATTTGTTGCAAGACAGGTTTGGTTCATGGGTGGTAAACGCGCAACATCGCTATTCAACCCGTTTTGCAGCAATGTTACAAAACAAGTTGCACGTTTTTGCTGTCCGTTTTACCGTACTTTTAAAGCTGGAGAAAATGGCCCAAGATTTTATCACCCTATTCGAAGACGAAAAAAGCCGAACAGAGACGAGCGACGAGGCAAATAACGGCTGTGTAGTAGAGTATTTGATTATGTTTATTCTTTTCCTCAGCCCGTCTTGTATCTTGAAAAGAACTGGATGGCGGATGAGTTTGCAGGTGGTTGCTATGTGGGAACGTTTCCCCCTGGCGTTTTATCGAACTTCGGAAAGTAAGTGACCTTGCATCGGTATTAAAAATCAGTATAAAGACCAGTTTTCAGCCAGTGAATGAAAAGATCAAAACATGGACTTTTCGTTTTCCAGCAAAAGAAAACCTTAATATGGAGAAAGCATAGTTCGATTGGCCAATCGTGTTGCAGTATGACGTCAAAGCGAAGTATCGATTGATTTCTAGAAAGTTCTCGGGCATGAGGTTTTTTCACCCGAGCGTTCGCTTAACCAATCAAAAGCGCAACCATGCGCGTTTGTATCCGTTCGATAAACCAATCAAATCGCTCTATTTCTGTTCGTTTGTTGTTTCTGTTTTGTTCGCGCGTTTTCATTTCAAGGTCATACGAAAATCGCTCTAACAACGTGTTCCAGTTCTGTGCCGTTGCTGTTCATACTTTACCAGTTAGCTCTTGGTATTGGCACAAAAAGCTATCCGGTTAGTGTAATGATAGCCGAAGCCACACCGTTCAGTCTGTTAAAGCAATTTGCTTACTGGCCTCTTCAGCTGTCCTTTGTTGGTCTCTGTTTCAGAGCGTTACGTGTCCCGTTTGGTCGAGTTCATTTTGCTGGTACCATTACAGCGTCACTTTGGGCTGGTTACATGGAGGGGGCTGTTGAATCCGGAGAACGTGCGGCGTTAGAGGTGAGTATTGCTGGATGAAACAATCCTTTAAGTGTCGCAGATTTGATGACTTGAACCGTGAAGGGAAGTACAGACTGTCGCAGTTCTGCGGGGAAATATATATATATATATATATATATATATATATATATTGTACAATAATTGAGCGATTTCTCCCGCGATAAGAGTACAGACCATGGAAATGACGTGACAATATGACGTGATGGTGGCGTAATTTGTTTTTCTCTTACTTGCGCGCGCGATTTTCCGAGGAACTTCAACGGAAATGGATGTGAAAAACGGTCAATGTTATTGTGAAAAAAACAAATCGACAACAATTTTCCATGGTCTGTGCTCTTATGGACCATAGAAATGACGTCAAAATGTACAAAACTTTGCAGTGAAACCACTCCTTTTGAGTTTTGATCATTTTGACGTCATTTCTATGGTCGATAGAGCTACAGACCATGGGAAATTGTTGATTAGATTTGTTAATTAGAAGCTTTTTTAGGTTTTGTACTAGTGTAGCTTGCAGGAACTGAGCTCTGTGGTCAAGGCCGCGATACTTAGAGCTCATTCACGACCTAATGCAGAATGCAGACCTTCTAGAAGTTTGGCAAATCTCAATCGGCAGTGATGCCGTGACATTGTCTTCTTTCTCGTGTTTGTGTTTAATTTTAGGTCTTGAGTAGACTGGGCATAATAACGGAGGATGACGCTAAGAAGCGACTTCATCCTGAGGTAAGTAACATCATGAAAGACCCGAAGGTAGAAGAAACTAAGGCACTCAACTTGTTGATTATTGCTTATTGCATTACCAACTTCTTGCGTGACAGGAAACACATTTGACCCAGAGAGAACTGGTTTGAGAGAATGGTCGACTGAAATTTGCTTTTTATGAAAATAGACGGGAATTTTAATGAGATGTGTGTCCAGCGCCGGAAATTCCCTGCAATTTAGGTTGCGAAGAGTCAAACGTGATTTAGAGAGATTAGCACGGGGGTTTTACCCTCTCCCTCCTCTCTCTTCCGTCGCCCAATACCTCACTAGAGGACCTGTTTATAAAGAGGCCACTTGCCTTCCGTTCTGTCATCCTGGTGAGTAAGTTCATATGGGCCTCTATCTGCCCTTTGCTTTTTCATACATTATCAATGATTTGGCCGGGCTTTCTGAAAATCGCAAAAATTCATTCATGACAAGAAAAACCAATCTGTCCTAATCGCAAAAAGTAGTTTCCTCAAAACACAAAAAATTGCCGGTCCCCGAAAATAAACTCCAGCAAAAATTTCGTGCCACACGGTTGATCAGTCCCGTAATGCAATTGGACACAAAACCCACCCTGTCTCAAGCCCAGACTGATGTAACCAAAAAGAAGCGGTTCCAATTCAATGCATGAAAATCTGCTAACTAAAGATTCAGATCTGGTGTCATCTCCAATTCTCTGTTTATTTATTTACTTAGTTTATTTAGTTTATTATTATTATTATTTTATTTTACTACAGGGTTTGGAGTCCAAATTTATGGAGTTTTCATTCACAGAGAAGCATCTTCTTCCCTCAGTACCATCCTTTTTGTATGGTTCTTGTTTTCTCGGCGGTGCGGCTGTTCTGACAGTTTTTTGGTGGAAATATTTCTCAGAATAAATCATAGATATTCGTGATTCATGTCTTTTCCAAAGTAACAATGAAATTTTTTCCTAGGCTCATAGCAAGACGAAATAATGTAGTTTCATTTGTAGTTATCACAAGTATAAATCGCCGCCCAAAATAAAGATTTTGGCGGAAATAGGAAATAGAAACGGTGATCATGGAAAATGATTACTGCACTGTTTTATCTTCATGACGAATTTCCATTGGAAAACCCAGAGTGACCTTTGCTTTACAGAGTTTTTTTCCAAGTTTGTTATTGCCTTTAGACACCCTCGTTCCCATTCGCCCTCTCTGACAAAAAATAGCGCATTGTAGCCTGTATTTTATTGCCTTACAAGCTCCACGTCAGGGAAATTGCATAGTATTCCAATTCTGCAAAAAGTAGCATAATCTCTTCTTGATAAAATAAATATGTTTATAAATAAATAAATAATGCTAAAAAATGGGAGGTCTGGAAACCCTTAGCGTTTCTTTGACGACATGTGACCTAGACTGTTCCTAAAAGCAAATATTGAATATCGCTTTTGTCGAAAAATCAATGAGAACTGAACAGATCAGTTGTTGCAGGGAGATTGGTGCGAAAAAATCCTGCCTTGTTTTCTATTTACTCTCCCAGGGAAAACTTACGACTTTAATCATGGTGTAGACAATGTTCGCCTCTATACAGAGATATGTGCTTTAATTTTGTAGTGGGTGGAGAGCGCTCTCAATATTGTGGACTAATTTTTCTGTTTTAATTATTTATTCATGAAACACTGTACATCCATGACATTTGCATTTAACATGTTGACCTGTATTTTCATGGATATTTCTCACTGTGTCGGGCCAGTGTCTTATAAAATTCTTCATTCAAAATGTGACGGTTTCTTACGTCGCTAAGAGAGTTTCCTATCGGTAGAAAACTCTTTGCGTGAGTGTGCTCATGTGTGAAGTTGTGTCGAATAAGAATGCTTTGTAGTGAAACATTAAGGCGTCGACCTCGTGTTTTAATTTGGCCTAGGCTCAGCTGTGTCAGTGCCTCGATTTGTCAGGCTCTACAAAGTGGATTCAGCCTTAGTTTTGGGATACTGTTGCCAGAGGTGATGATGGAATTCAACGAAAGCAAGAAGAACACTCGTAAGTATTTGGATAAATAGTTAAATTATAACAACGCTTGCAAGTGGCGATTATGATAAGCGAAACAAACATTAAAAAGCACACCAGTTTTTAATTCGTTACGTTTTTACTATACTTAATCTTTGAAATAATAATTGCAAGAGCAAATCCCTGTGATCTGAGTGCAATTTTACTGTATATTGGTACCCGGAGCGTGCTTACAAGGCCATGATGATCTACTTATGGTCATCTGATTATTGTCACGTTTCCTTTATTTTGACTATTCGCAATTTTGGCGATTTCCTGTTCCCATTCCCAACTTTGCCCTCGCTTTCCCCAGTAACACTAGGTTGGCAAACACCCAGTACACCAGTACAACTTAGAGGCGGTGCATTATACAGACTCTAGCTTTTTGTGAAAATTGTTTTTCAAATCAGACATGGGCCTAGGGAACAGATCGGAACACTGCATTTGTGAGACAATTATGTCGGACCAAAGCCAGAAACTTGAAGATTCATATACCCCCCTCTTTTTAAGTAGTAACCAGGTTCACCATTTTGAACCTCGACTAGCCTCTCAGTATAGACCTCATTTTTGTAGAACTATAAATATTAGTTCAGTATCCTGTATCGAGGACCAACAATCTGGAATTCTTTGCCAGTTACACTAACCAGCTCCTCTTCCATATTTGTTTTTAAAAAATCTGAAAAACTATCTCATTCATAGTCGATCTGTCGCCTAAGTTTATGTTTTCTGCACACTCTGCAATAAAGAAAGCCCTTGTAATTTACCTTGAGGAAGCCTATTAATATAAGCTCCGAGCTTCTTTAGTCTTCCTTGTCAGAGCAAAGCCTTCCTTGTCACAGCAACTTATATTTTAATTAATACCTCTTTTAACGTTTTATTTTATGTATTTTGAGTGGCCAAAAAAAAAAACAAATAAATGAATGAAATGAATGAATAAAATTCAGGAATAACAGTAAATCAATGTTATAAACATCTTATAAATGAAGTGATAAAAAAGGATAATTTTGTTTAATATTGATAGTAAAGGAGAGGAGTGCGCGTCACGTTTTAAAATGAGCATTTGTTTAAAGCCGGTTCCAGACATTCAGGTTGTGGGGAGTGACAAAATTGTTTAGAAAATTGCAGGAGACTAGAAAATTCCCCTCCTTCCCCCCAAAAAGAACATGTTAAACAGAATTCATGTCAGGAGAAACTTTCTATCGATCATCAATTAACTTAGAAACCAAACCTATTAGTAGTGAAGTAGCTTACTCAAATCAATCAACAAGAACGCTTACAACAACTCATCTACAAACATATTTCGTAGGAAATGCCACAAGTGGCTAACGTAACTCTTCGATCAACATTTTCTTTCAACAAGGCCAAGGAGAATGAATCAACAGAAATCATTTTCTCATGTCGGGAGAGGATGTCATTTGATCAGTGTTGATGCGTAGGAGTTGAACACCAAGTAAAATAAGTCAAATTGTTTTTTTAAGATGTTTCCCTGGGCCTATAGATAATTCCCGAATCGAATGAATTTTGTAATAAATCCCATTCAAAAACATGCGCACTACGAACATTTTTCATCGCTTCCATTTTTATTGTTTAACAATTGTAACGAAACCTAATTTAGAGGAATTTTTACGTAAGCTTTTTGAAAAATATCGCATTGAAAATTGTGGCAAACAATATTAAATATGTGTGGCAACTGACAGGTTTTTTTTTTTTATCCTTCTGTACTCTTTATTTTTATTGCAATTTGTTTTGTTACTTACTGACTGATTTATTTATTTATTTATTTATTCTTTTACTTTCTGCTGAGTATTAATGTTGTTAATTTGCTGTCAATAAAAATAACAATTATAATAATAATAATAATATGAATTTGAGAACGCTTAGTGAATTGCGAAATTTAATGCCCTTTTTTATATTCGCCCATCGAAATCCGCACTAAGCTAGTTCAGTTTGCTTACTTAGTGTAGGTCATGCGTATCTTATCCACGTGTTTACTGCACATTAATACTTGGATATGCGTGACAAATTTTGCGAAAAGGACAAAGGGCCAGTTCCTTCAAAACCTTCGCGGGAAAATGAGGAATGAGAAACATACAGTACAAGCTGAAGAGGTGCTACTTTTCAACAACAGAAATGCCACGTTTCGGATCGAAACATCACCGAGACAGCTTAACGTCATGGTTTGCTTGTATGTGTGCTTCAATCTTAAACGCCGCAAATCTTGGTTTCAGTGTTAGCTTCGGAGTTATGATGCCCGCCCTGATGAAAGAATTTCACGAGGGTAGGCAGCAGACGGGTGAGTCGCATTTCGAGTCTGGTGTTATATAAAACGGCGTACCAAATGTCTGTAAAACTCTAACACTAGCAGTAATCAATGATGTTCAATGCTTCATGAGAGGCTTAGGCCCGGGGGGGGGCACTTTAGGAATTTCTGGGTGGGGATGTGCCTCTGGGACCCTGGAACCCTTGACCTATATCAGAGCTAGTTCAGCTGAATTCCGCCGCCCCCCGCCCCGGGTGCTTAGGCCGGTTCAGGAATCATGCCCAAGGCGTTAATAGTGGTTGATTACATAATTACCATGAAAAATTTTCTCCCTAAAAATTCCTCCGTTTGGAACAGTTAAAAAAGATTCAGAAAACATTTCGATCTGTGTTGACGGTGACGTTATAAAAAGCAACGGAATAAAGAACCCAAGCAAGATGCTACGTTACTTATTGGGGTTAATCGGTATTACAGCAATACTCCCTCGATAGTAGCGGGGAAAATGAATTAAATCTCGATTTATTACACAATGGCGCTCAAGACGAATTCTTTCTTGTTTAATCACAGGGGGCCCACACAATAGGTTTGTGTAGCCGATTGTTATTTTATAGTAAATGTACTGGATTTACCGTTTGCTTCACCTATAGCGATATATCGCTAACTATGTATATAAATCAATGATAAATAAACGTTGAATTACCTTACCTGTGGTGTATAGTCGTCCTTTTGCCTCAAAAGCGGTTTTTTGAGCGATTTTGAATGAATTTGAGTTCGCCGTTGACTGTTCCATATATAAGAAGGACAAGGGAGGAATCCTTGTTTTGAAAGGGTTCCAGCGCCGGAGCGATTTTTCCCCCAAAAAACGCATCGCTCCGCTTTCAAACTTCGCAGCATAAAGGTCAAAAGATTCACGATTCTTCTCGTACCTTCCAATCAATCTTCTTATATATGGAACAGTCAACGGCGAACTCAAATTCATTCAAAATCGCTCAAAAAACCGCTTTTGAGGCAAAAGGACGACTATACACCACAGGTAAGGTAATTCAACGTTTATTTATCATTGATTTATATACATAGTTAGCGATATATCGCTATAGGTGAAGCAAACGGTAAATCCAGTACATTTACTATAAAATAACAATCGGCTACACAAACCTATTGTGTGGGCCCCCTGTGGTTAAATTTTTGTTTGTGTACATGCTGGTTGATCTTCTCTGAAACAGATTAAAATTAACAATTGCTGTTGCCCGCCCTGGCGAAAGAATTTGACGATAGATATCGATGGACCTTGACCTTGTCTCTAATCTGTCGATGAAACCGGAGGTCACAAGAAAATGAAAAAATCAAGATGCAGGCTAACACACACTCTGTATTAAAAACTTTTTTCGTAAAGTACCGTTTTCGCAGATGTGATGATCAAGACGCAAACTTGCAATTTCCGTATTTTTCATTTATTTAAAAAACTACAACCATATATTGACTTTTCATACCGAATTCATTAAAACTGCCAAGCTTCATAAATGATTCGTCGCAAACAAACGGAAAGATGAGCTTCCGAACGGGCGAATTTTTACAAGGAAATGTATGGCTTTGGGGCAGTCTTGCCCTCACGCCATACATTCCTACGTTCCAGGCCCCACATCTGTTTGTTGATTCGATGCTTCTTAGCTTCATATCTTTTGCTGGTTTAAAATTGCAAGCTTAACTGATTCACCTCTCATTACTTTTCTGACATTCAATTCAGACTTTCATTTTCAGGATCCTTGGTAGTGGCATGAGCTTTCCTTATAGGTCTTCGTAACTTTTCTTTCCCACGTTGGAGGGAGAGAAATAACAGTCTATATGCACAAACGTTTGGAAACGTCGTTTGCGTGACTACAACGTATTAGATTGGAGTATATATATAGAATAGTCAATATAGTTACACGTACAAAAGCTAATTGAAGTACTCAATTCATTTTCTGTTTCTTCCACTCCAATTAGCAACTAAACTTAAGCTGAATACGGAGGCATTCCTGATATCTTTGACATGACTCTAGAGCCGATCAGAAACACTGTTCAAATTCCGTTTGTAGTTCTCTACTTCGAGAGCGCTTCTTGATAAGGCTCACACGGAAGAGGTTGCTAGTACTCTGTTTTCGTAAAGTCTGCCACCCCAGGCGTACGGGCCGGGGGGCTGGGGCGCTGCAGCTCCCCCAAATTTTGGGAAACTAAATTTTTTAGGCAGCAAGAGAAAATTTGGGCAAAGCCAGTTTATAGACGTTTCCATGTTTTTTTATTATTTTGAAGAGATAGATATTTTCTATTTTAACCTGAACTTGGCGTGGGAAATTCACACGAGACAGTGGTTGCCTAGCAAGTGACGAGTTTCTGGTTGTTAGGGAAGGGTATATAGTTATATGGTGCAGCACCATGGGACAACAACATGTCAGTAACATCGCACTGACAATGAAAGGGCATATGCCAACTCTGTGGTCAACAATGACAAGGATCGTATCAATGATATATTTGGCCGTCAAAATGGCTACGACAGCTTTATTTCTTGTAACTTGGTTCATGAGCTCCTCGTATGAACGATTCGTACTGTTCATATGTAAGAATACTTTCACTTCATATGTACGGTCTATGTTAATTGTTGCGTCGTATGGCCCTCGTTTCTTTTCGACTTTTTCGTAAAAATTTGGGCAACTTGCGAGAATTTTTTGGGTAAATGGTTTACCGCCCCCCTCCCCCCCAGCAAAAAATAGCCCGTATGCCTATGTCAGCCACTGTCTGAACTGAACCGTTCGCTCACCATCTTTTACTGTAGATCTAGAGATAAAAAGCGTGTGTGATCTTCGCGATGCCAAGTTAGTGACTTTCTTAATTTATGTATCTACCTTATCAATCCTTTACTAGTAGGTCATCCTAAAGTGAATTGACCCATTGAGTTTTGAATTGAATGAAGAACACTTTGCTTTAAACCTACAGTACAAACATCGTGGTACGTTTGCCAACCGTAAATATGAAGAACTTTCTTACCCCAAAAATCCGAATTCTAGTAACTCTATTGAAACTCAATTGAAAAGGCAACCCCATTATAGTCAAACCAGTCGTGAAAATGCGACCCCATCAAGCACATCCCCATTAGATACATACATACATACATACACCCTTTATTATCTTTCCTTATAAGAAAATGACAGAAACTAGACATGGTCATGACATGGCCACTTCCTGCTGAGGTGAGCAAAGCCGTCTGCATTTGGGGTAACTACTTGATGTTCATTCTTGCGATCACTGAGTTTTATTCAGCTAATACTACTACACCAACTAGTTACCCCGAATACAGATGGCTTCGCTCACCTAAGCAGGAAGTGACCATGTGCTCTGGTTTAATCCGGTGGCCTTTTTTGCGCATACTCTTGTATCTTGCGCACGCAGCAGAGGGCTATTTGTGCCACAACAAAAAAACGAAGCCCATTTTTAAGCTCGGGCGATTGCATCGAGCAATAATATCGAACTTAATAAAATCATCACAAGTCGAGACATCTTCGAATCAGAACATGTACACTCCAGTGACAAGATCATATCCGAACTAACAATAGATTCAGGTTGTAAAAAATACTTTTGTTTGTCTTTTTGTTTGTTTTAATCAAAACTCATAAATAGTCAAAATTGTAACATGGAGAGGCGGAGCCCTTTGAGATCTTCAAAAAGGTACAATCGTATAGGCTATATCAAATCTCTTTTCTTGTTTTTTTTTCCTTTCAGTTTGGATCGGATCTCTAGCGATTGCATTAACCTTTCTTCTTGGGCCATTGGCATCAGTTCTTTGCAAAGCTATTACATGTCGTTTCACCGCTATTGCTGGAGGACTGACATGCGCAGTGGGCTTGATTCTGACGTCATATTCACGAAGCTTTGGGTTGATGTTTTTCACCGTTAGCTTTCTTTATGGTTTAGGTGCATCCATGATATTTACGGCTTCCTTTCTTATCACGGCAAAGAACTTTCGCAGATTTCAGTATCTCGCTGTAGGGATCGTTTCTCTTGGTGGTAGTGTCGGTGTGCTCATTTTTGGCCCTCTCCTACAGTTCCTGATAGATAGATTGGGCTGGAGAGGCACTTACAGAGTAACAAGTGTCTTGTTCGTCGTTGTGTGCATCTGCGCAGTCTCGTTTGGTAAACCACGATCGGATTTTGAAGACGCAAATGCTACGGCAAATGAGAATTGTACCGATGAATCTGATAAGTTGACCATTCCTGAAGATCTAATTACCACAAAAGACGTTAAACGCGCAGAAAGGATATATTTGAATCAAGTGCAAAATAGAAAGGAAAGAAGCAAACTTATTGACCTGTCAGTCTTCAAAGTACCTCGTTTTACTGTCGTAGTAACAAGTCTCACATTAATGTGCCTGGGACATTACACGCCACAGTTGCTTTTGGTGAGTTTGTTTTTCGTATTCCACGTGCACGCTATGAGTGCACTACACACAGTTATTTAACGCAGAAGCGAGAAAAAATTGGTCCGTATTAATATTGCCAGTGTACAGCGGTAAAAAAAACAAGGGAAATTTCCCCGTTGACGCAACAGGCGAGGCGAGGTTACAAAATAGGGAGCTTAAGCGGCGGCGACGACGACGACAATGGCGAAATTGTATCTTTAAAAGTGAATTGACGCTGTTTCAAATTCCATCGCTCTTATTCCATGCCGTTCAATAGACCATTTTACAGTTGTGAACTTAGTACCCTAACCTTCGAGTGAATATGAGGCTGAGGTTTACCTTGTTTTGACAAACCTTCTTTGCTTTGTTATGGAAATTGTCCTTGAAAAATACTAGTTAGCAGAAGAATAACTTGATTTACTTAGTAAAGCAGTATCAAAACAAATCAAAACAAGGTCGACAACAGTCGACGAGTTTTATCTGACAATGACGTAAACAACATGTATAAGTCAAAACTTTTTTTCTTGTCTTTTACAGGTTAAATACTGCCTCGAGGTGGGCATTTCCGCTGACTCGGCATCCACGCTTTTTATCTTTATCGGTTTATCGTCATCATTTTCTCGTGTAGTCACTGGAAGAATGTGTGACATTTCTTGGATAAACACTATTTTTGTTTACCAGTTTGGTAATCTACTTGTAGGCCTAATTACCATTTGTCTCCTACTGATTAAAGACTACACAGGAATGGTTGTATTTGCAATAGTATATGGAGTCGGTGACGGCATTTTTATCACAACAATGAACTCCCTTCTCATGTTTACAGTTGACGAGAAGCGCAGAGCATCCGCCTTAGGACTTGGAAATTTTTTATTGTCTCTGGGCATTGCCGGTGGACCTCCGTTGGCCGGTGAGAATATCTTTTTAAAAATCAGGGCCTGTTTACTTAGAGGGGGGGACCCCAGGTAGGTGAGGTAACCCGCCTGTCCATATAATCTCTCATTTTAATTTGATCATGTTTGCATGATGGGTGAGGTGACCCGCCACATGTTACCTTACCTATCTGGGGTCCCCCACCCCCATGTAAAAAGGCCCTAAATCTGTGTTTTAGGTCGGTTCCAATTCCGCCTCTCTCTCGGGTACGGGGCCCGTTTCTCGAAAGGCCTGGGAACTTTAATTCAGGCCCAATTTTAAAGTCGAAATCCGTTCACAAACCAGTCAATTTTACTTCTTTGACTGCTAGTTTCATTGTATCGTTTTCAATATTATTGACTGACCCGGCTTTTATCTGGAATGCAAACACGGCAAACATAAACAGCTTCCCAGGCCCCAAACGTTACCCGGACTTTTGAAAAACGGGTCCCGGGTCTTGTTCGGAACGAGCGAGGGCTCATTTCTCGAATAGCTGCTGGTATTCGAGCTTATATGTTTTAGGTGACTCACAATAGTTTTGCTCTTTGAGACATCTTCAACGCTAATGCGGTTTTGTGGTGAAAACACTTACATTAATGTAGTTTGGAATTGCTTCCACGTTAAAACGTTTAAAAGGAGGTTAGACGCCTATCGTCCTAGCGTGTGCACCTGCGGTCAAATGAGAGAAACCAATTTACTGTTAATATGTTCGAAAGTTTATTTTAAAAAGCTCTTACAATGTAAGTGTTTGCATGAAGAATAAAACTGATGTTATTATGGGCGCCATTTGGCAGCATAATTTTCCTTGGATACGAAGCGTTTTCCGCAAAGCGAGCTGAGTATTTTGGGGAAACTGAAAAGTTGGTTACGTTAAAGAATTATTGTTTTACCCTTAAATTTGATTAACATTTTGAAATCGAAGAAACAAACAATTAGAATGTTAGAAAATTACTTTTTGTTATCGATCGGAGAAAAGACTTGTATCAGGAATCATTCAAAGTAAAAATTTTAGGAAATCGTTTTTGTTCTTGTTCTAATCTAAGTAATGATGAAATTATTTCTTAGAGGCCAGGTCTGTAAACGGGTATGGATTTTAGAGGCCAGGTCTAAAAACGGGAGTGAAAAAAATGACATTTTTTGGTCTGAAATAGGGTCAGCATTGGGAGAACTGGGCGGTACACCCCCACCAATAATTCCCGGAGTACCCCCCTAACTCGTACTCGATTTTGTTCCCGTAGACAAATCTTAAGTTCGCTTATGTAACGTTGAAGTACCCAGAAGGCAATCCCATATAAGTTAAAGCTCTTTCTACCTAGTTTTGTAGTTTTAAGTCGCCATTTTACCTCCCACTAAATTAAGCAGCACGACACTTTCTTTACCAACGAATTCCTTTGTTAAATTATTGTTAACTACATGTCTTTGTTTAGCTAAATTTACAGTCAAGCCAGGTCAAACGTACCCCCCAAGCTCCCACTGATGAATTTATTATTCGAAAGTTGAATCCGTTGGTAGTTGTAGGTGTCAGATTCATCTCTGCATTCTTGAATGCGTAATGATCAGTGAATTCACACGCGAGGCAGTTACGAAATTTGTACCACCTCTGTTTCCCTGAATTTGATGAAAATGTCTTCTAAGAAATATAATCCATTCAAAGATTTTCAATCTGACCTAATACAGAGAAGTTCTCGTTAGATATTCACTGTTTATTACGCATGCGGAAATGCCGGTTTGAATTTGACAAAAGATACGGGAACCACTAACGGATTCATTTTTCAAATAATCAATTCAGTAATAGAATCTTGGGGGGGTACGCTTGACCTGCTTTGACTGTAATGTAAAATGGTTTCGATTTCCACATTATTTTTTGTAGGATTCTTAGCCGACAAGTTCAGTTGCTATAGGTGGTCATTCATAGTGGCTGGAAGTTTGATGCAATTTGCAGGGATTCTTCCTTTCGTCCTCGTGTGGCTCAACAAAGGAAAACAAAGAAATTCAACCGCGAGACACGTTAGCGAACCTGCGCAAATACAATGTCATTTCACAGCTGGGTAATCCCCCTGGGTGTGTGGTGCGAATGTTCATGACAAACACCTTTTTCGTTTACCACGATTCGTGTAATACATACATAGAAATCGTGAAAAGGCAATTTTATTCATGTCTACTGCATATTTCTAGGTCGGCCAAGCTCTTAAGAAAATGCCTCCCTTGTTTTTTATTTCTCTCTCTAGCTCTCTGTCGCTCTTTTTCGTGTTGAGTTTCGCTGGACTGTCGCCTACTTTCTCTTTTTCTCTGTCTTTCTCTATATCTATATTCCAAATTTTTGGACATGGCAATTAATCTAAGCTTAATACTTTAGGCAACGGGAATACAGAAACAATTTACGTTTTGTATTGACGCGGGTGGCTAAACGGGATATGCAATTTCCCGCCAAAATTAACTCGAGTTGCATTTGGGTTGCCATACCTGTTGATTGAGTTATTTAACATTGGTACAACTTTGGTGCGGACGGACGGGAGGGCGGATGGGCGCGCGTACGGTCACGTGGTTACCAAAATTTAAAGATCACCGCATTTTCTTAAGTATGGGGCTACGCTCTCGCAAACGCGCGTGCGTGGAGCTCCCAAAGAAAATGGGATTACATGTAAGAACCGCCTGATCGCAAGTTAATAAAGAAAAATATATCGTGAGAGATTGTCCCCCCCAATCCCCCGCCCAGGATATCACAGTAAACAAAAGCAGGATTGTTTACTTTTTTCGTTGTTAGCGTATATGCTTTATCTTTTCCAAACGACTTTAGAAAACCGTTAGCACTGAGGTTGAATTTATTTGCAGCGTATGCGTTCGGCCAAATGCGACTGCTAGACGCGAATGCTGCAAAGAGAGTCTTCTCTTGTTTTTTAAAAAAATATACGAATTGAAGTACTCGCAATTTTACTAAGCATGTTTGTGCTCATAAATCGCTTTATGACCCAGATATTTTGCATAAACAATGACATTACGTAAAAAATTACCTATAACAAAAAAATAGAGGTAACCTTTTCAGTGTAATGGGATCAATTAACTGAAATGGGTCGAACTTCCGCAAAATCAGAAAAACCCCAACATAGCATTTGTAATCTGGATACTAAATACACTTCTCTCTGACTGAGGTTTTGGAATTTTGGCTTGATTGTTAAGACGCTTGCCTCAGGCACGACATTACTGTAAAATTTGTTGTTTAGGCGTGAACTTCTCAGAAGATCTCAGAACATCCAAACACTTTTATCATATTTCGTGTTACCGTTGTTGTGCACAGCAAATTGTAAAGAGAGGGATAAAGTTTGCCCTCTGCATCAACTTCTGTCGCATTATCATCGGGGCTTAATTTTAGAACCGAGGGTGACCGCTTAATAAGGGTTTGATGGTATGTTTTGTTTTGCCCAAGCAGGTCATGCACATCTTACCTATTAGTTACTGCATGCATATTAATGCGTAGATGTGCATGACCAATTTTGCGAAAAGAAAAACGGCTAGTTCTCCCGAAACCTTCACCGGGAAAACAAAAAGTTGCAAACATACAGAACAAGCTGACGAGTACTACTTTTCGAACAGAAATGCCATATTGCGGATCGAATCATCACCGAGACAGCTTAACGTCATGGTTTGTTTGTATTTGCGCTTCAATCTTTAATGCCGCAAATCTTGGTTTCAGTGTTAGCTTCGGAGTTATGTTGCCCGCCCTAATGGAAGAATTTGACGAGAGTAGGCAGAAAACGGGTGAGTCGCATTTCGAGTGTGGTGTAACGCTGTGGCTATAAGAACGCTAGAAAGACGATGCAAAGACTTGAAGACAGTTGTGGAACAGCAGTTAGAGAAAGGGATCCTAGAAGTGGTGCCAGAAATACCCAACGGAGAAGCCATACATTACATTCGCCATCAATTATTAATGAGAGACCAGGCAGAGTCTCGGACAAAACATGAGGATAGTGTATGATTGCTGTGCTACGGCCAATTCTCAAGTACCGTCTTTGATCACTGTCTGGAAGTGGGACCCCATTTACAGCCTATGATCTTTGAAATTCTTCTCCGAAATGGCCTAAAGTTGCGCTGTATCACCGGAGGCATTATTTCCCTTTATCGCTCTCTGCTCCACAAGGACTTCCTGATAAGGTTCCGGGGGAGGGAGGGCACTGGGGTATTTTTTGGGTGGGTATGTGCCGCCCGGGACTCCAAATTCGCACCCCGTTCTAAAAAAACATTCCCCTAAAATTGATACCCCGTTCTAGAAATGGGCCAATTTTTTTATACTCCGTTGTAGGCTGCAACAAGAGTATAACAGTTTGCTTCAGTAACGCATTGAGCCGTATTTTTAAAAGCAATTTGTCCTTGCATAATTTCAAATGGTTGCTTACAAAACTGGAGCTTTCATGCGTTCGAAATATCATACCCCGTTCTAGAAAACGCCTCTGAAATGGATACCCCATTCTAAATCAGGAGCTTTAAAATCACGACCCCGTTGGGCGGCACATACCCGTATAGGTAATGTATGGGAGTACCCCCCCCCCCGGATAAGGTTCACACAGAAGAGTTTGTTAGTGATCTGTTCGCGTAAAGTAAGACACTGTTTGAACTGAACCGTTTGCTCGCCATCTTTTACTATAGGTCTAGAGATAAACAGCGTGTACATTTGGTAAAAAGATTTCAGAGATTTCGCGTATAAGAAAATGACAAGGAAGCCCACTTCCTGCTGAGGTGAGCAAAGCCATCTGTAATCGGGGTAACTACTTGGTCTTCATTCTTGCGGATCGGATCACCGAATACGCCGACATCAAGTAGTTACCCAAATACAGATGGCCTTGCTCACGGCACAGCAGGAAGTGGCTATGTGCTCTGGTTTAATCCGCTGGCCTATTTTACGCATACTATTTTATCTTGCGCACGCGCTGTATGCGCCAGAGGGCGATTTGTTCCACGACAAAAAACGAAGCCCATTTTTAAGCTCGGGCGATTCCATCGAACAATAATATCGAACTTATTACAATCATCACAAGTCGAGACGTCTTTGAATCAGAACACGTACAATCCAAATACAAGACCATTTCCGAACTAACAATAGATTTACGTTGTAAAAATGTTTTTTGTTCAGTTGTTCGAAGGCCGATTAGCGCTTAACCGGGGTCAAATTTAACCCAGGTTTCTTTTTCTTGTGTTCAAAAGCTTTTTCTCGGATAATTTTCTCTGATATTTTTAGAGCTTCCAATCATCAACTTGCATACAAAAAAATTAAAACTGAAATGCTTTTTAAGCTTTCAAATCTTAATTCAAATCTCGCACTAACCCTGGGTAATCTTAACTCAGCTTTGAACAACTCGATCCTGTTTGTTTGCTTTAATCAAAACTCATAAATATTCAAAATTTTAACGTGGAGAGTTGGAGCCCTTTTTAGATCTTGAAAACGGTACAATCATAGCTATATCAAATCTCTTTTCTTGTTTTTTTTTTTTCTGTCTTCCAGTTTGGATCGGATCTCTAGCGATTGCATTAACCTTTCTTCTTGGGCCATTGGCATCAGTTCTTTGCAAAGCTATTACATGTCGTTTCACCGCTATTGCTGGAGGACTGACATGCGCAGTGGGCTTGATTCTGACGTCATATTCACGAAGCTTTGGGTTGATGTTTTTCACCGTTAGCTTTCTTTATGGTTTAGGTGCATCCATGATATTTACGGCTTCCTTTCTTATCACGGCAAAGAACTTTTGCAGATTTCAGTATCTCGCTGTAGGGATCGTTTCTCTTGGTGGTAGTGTCGGTGTGCTCATTTTTGGCCCTCTCCTACAGTTCCTGATAGATAGATTGGGCTGGAGAGGCACTTACAGAGCCACATGTGCCTTGTTCGTCCTTGTGTGCATCTGCGCAGTCTCGTTTAGTGAACCACGATCGGATTATGAAGACGCAAATGTGACGACAAATGAGAATTGTACCGATGAATATGATAAGACCATTCCTGAAGATCTGATTACCACAAAAGACGTTAAACGTGCAGAAAGCATACATTTGAATCAAGTGGAAAATAGAAAGGAAAAAAGGAAACTTATTGACCTGTCAGTCTCAAAGTACCTCGTTTTACTGTCGTAGTAACAAGTCTCACATTAATGTGCCTGGGACATTACACGCCACAATTGCTTTTGGTGAGTTTGTTTTTCGTATTCCACGTGCACGCTATGAATGCACTACACACGGTTATTTAACACAGAAGCGAGAAAAAAGTGGTCCGTATTAATATTACCAGTGTACAGCGGTAAAACAAAACAAGGGAAATTTCCCCGTTGACCCAACGGGCGTGGCGAAAAGGTTACGGCGACGACGAACACGACGACGACAGTGGCGAAAACGTATCTTTAAAAGTGAATTCACGCTGTTTCAAAATTCATCGCTCGTATTCCATGCCGTTCAATAGACCATTTTACAGTTGTGAACTTAGTACTCTAACCTTCGAGTGAATGTGAGGCTGAGGTTGACCTTGTTTTGACAAACCTTCTTTGCGTTGTTATGGAAATTGTCCTTGAGAAATACTAGTGAGTATAAGAATAACTTGATTTCCATAGAAGGTTTGTATCAAAACAAATCGAAACAAGGTTAACTCAAAATGGCCTATTTGTCAAATGCAACGACGGTAATGAAATTAATAAAAACATGATGCATCTGCAAAGTTTTGTTTTGATAATCTTATGACCCTATTCCTTGTTGCCGTCGTCGTCGCCGTTGCTGCGTAAACTTGTTATTCAAGTAATATTAACAAGAGTTGACGAGTTTTATCTTACAGTGACATAAACAACACGTATAAGTCAAAACTTTTTTCTTTTCATTTGCAGGTTAAATACTGCATCGAGGTGGGCATTTCCGCTGACTCGGCATCCACGCTTTTCATCTTTATCGGTTTAGCGTCATCATTTTCTCGTGTAGTCACGGGAAGAATGTGTGACATTTCTTGGATAAACATTATTTTTGTTTACCAGTTTGGTAATCTACTTGTAGGCCTAATTACCATTTGTCTCCTACTGATTAGAGACTACACAGGAATGGTTATATTTGCAATAGTATATGGAGTCGGTGACGGCATTTTTATTACAACAATGAACTCCCTTCTCGTGTTCACGGTTGAAGAGAAGCGCAGAGCACCCGCCTTAGGACTTGGAAATTTTTTACTGTCTCTGGGCATTGCCGGAGGGCCTCCTTTGGCCGGTGAGAATATTTTTTTAATCCAAGACATTCTTTTATTTAACTCTGTGTTTTAAGTCGGGTCGAATTCCGCCGCTGTCTCGAGTCCGGGGCCCGTTTCTCAAAAGGCCCGGGACTTTTCGGGCCCGAAGGAAAATTGGAAAGTCAAAACCCGTACGCGCGTTGAATAGTAGCACAGTTACTAGCTTGCAAACCAGTCAATTCTGCTACTTAACTATCATTGTATCGTTTTCAATATTGTTAAAACTTTTGTTCTGATTTCAAACAAGGCAAGCATAAAACAATTTTTCTTGCCCGAAAAGTTACCGGGACTTTTGAGTAGCCTGGAAAAAACAGCCAACATTTCGCGGTGCCACCACTGGTTTCCCTGCGAACGGACGTTTGAGAGACGAGCGTAGAAATTCCATACTGATCACGTGTCACTACCCAGATCTGGGTAGCGCTTCTGATTGGTCGAAGCAAATTTCCCACGCGGCACGACCAATCAGAAGCACTACCCAGATCTGGGTAGTGACGCGGGGTAGTGGTCAATTCTAAAGGTCGCGAATGTAACGTTGAAGTACTCTAATGACAATCCCATATAAATCAGTAAAGCTCTCTCCGCCGGCCTAGTTTCGAAGTTTTATAAGCCGCCATTAAACCTCCCACTAAATTAAGCAGCACGACACTTTCTTTACCAACTAATTCCTTTATTAAGTTACTGTTAACTACATGTCTTGGTTAGCTAAATTTCATGTAAAATGGTCTCGATCAACATCATATTTTGCAGGATTCTTAGCCGACAAGTTCAATTGCTATAGGTGGTCATTCATAGTGGCTGGAATTTTGATGCAGTGTGCAGGGATTCTTCCTTTCGTCCTCGTGTGGCTCAAAAAAGACGAATACAGACATTCAGTTGCAAGACACATCAGTGAACCTGCACTGAAAGAGAAACCGTAATGTTTCTAAGCTGTTTAGATAACCTTTCACGCATACGTTCTTTGGGGTTCGTGACACGTTCCTGGCCCACGAACGTCTGCTGAATCGAGTGGCTAAATTCCTTTCACATTGTTAGCAAACATCAGCTGGAGCTCGTGTGCAGATTATCGTAGAACCAATCAGCGTTGCTGAAGTGTTGACGAGCCAACCACATACGTAGAGGCTTTGTAGAGTGCGATACGTGACCAAAGAGTTTAGTTCCGTACAAGAATATTTAGGAGATAAGCGTTGGCGTTTTGTATATTTCTCTTTGTACAGGCTGGATTAGATATCATTTGCTCATAAAGTTATTCTGTGGGTGAAGCAACGGCGGGATTGTACGTTATAACTGAACAACTAACTGTTTTGTAGTAAAGCCGATTTCCGTTCAGCAAATTAAACCTCCGAGGTAATTTTTTCCATGACATCGTGAGGGCAGTCTCCAGTACGAATTAGGCGTGAGTGTTAACTGAGACGTTTTGTTGTTAAGGTTAATACAAGGTCTTCACCTTTCAAGACCTTTCTGATCTTTTCTGAAACTGAGTCTCACGCGAAAATTTTCATAGTCCAAAGTGCACTTCCCAGATCTGGAAGAGTACTGTGATTGGTCTACGTTTATTACCGCTCGATTCAGCAGACGTTTGTGGGGCAGGAACGCGTGACGAACCGCTAAGAACTTCTGCGTGGGAGGCTACTGTTTAGATTGCTGTCAACCTTTGCCTTTGCAGACCAGGCCCCAGTTGTTCAAAAGGAATAATCCACTTTTTAAAGTATCCACTAAAGAACGCTATTTATTTCCTTAGTACTTATCCACTGAACAGTGATTGCTGCGGAGCGACCGAAGGGAGCGAGCAGCAACATAATCAGGATTTAAAGGAAATATATAAGGGGCAACGAATTCTCGAATTCATCACTTTTTACCACAATGCATTGCATTTAACCAGAGGGCATTGCGCCACGAACAACTCAAATAAAAACACGGGGAAGTAGTGCATCGTTCTCTGCTCAGTTCTAAAGCACGGTTAGAGGTCTTACCAAGTTTTAAGACACGCAGGAGTCTTTCAGATGAGTACGATGGTTAACTTGGGCAGTGGATGTCAATTCAAGACCCTTTGACTCGTCCAGGTGTTAAACCTGACGAGAAGATGAGCATTTGCTCTTCGACCCCGCAACACGGGGGATATACAAATTCCAGCTTGCTAGAAGGTGATGTGAAAGTGAGAAAATGTCATGCAATGCTATTCTTAAGAAACTGTATGAGCCGAAAATGGATGTGATTTTGACCATTCGCTTCAAAATAACAGCGGAAATCGAGATAACAAAACATATGTCTTGTGACCTACTTTGCAGACCAGGACGTGTATCGCCGTTTTGAAAAGCGTAATTATGTTCTTTCATTCATTCATTGCCATGGAATACGCGTTTACATTGTTTGTTAACTGTTAATAGCTCGGTTAATGCGGCTGGCGATCATCTTGCCGGCGGAAGTTTCATAGAAAAGGAATAAAATGAAACACTTTTCCCAAAACCACGTAATCAGCCTCTGTGGTGTAGTGGTTAGGTGTAGTGGCGTCGAGTTGAAGGTGCCGGGTTCGAGTTCTACCGAATTATTTATTCCTACTTTCTTTTTTTTTCCGTTTTTTGTGTTTTTGTTTTCTATAAATATATAGCTAAATAACTGTTACTTAATAAAGTGCAACAAACAGCAAGAAAAGTATTGTGTTTCCAGAGAAAATATCGTGCACTGTATATTAAATATCTGGATAAACAATCTCAATTTCTATTATTTCCTACAATTTACTGTGGGAAAACCAGAGTTGATAGCCACTTGATCATTTTCTAAACAACGTTCCCACGAGTTCTTTCTATAGACTGGTAGTAATTATTCTAGTACTTACCAACATGTAAATAGGACATTCAATGTCATTTTTGATTCTTTTAAGTCTCACTGCCTAAATAATGCCAGTATCAACAGAATGTGCCGCAGCATTACTATCTTTGTAACAACCGTCAATTCGATGTCAATTCCACGTTTTATTCGATCCGATCAACTACGCTCAGCACACCGTTCGAATACAATACCGTACAAGAAATCCTTACAAACAAGCAAGTGTCTCTATCCGTAACCTTGAAAACTGCTGAAATATCCGTAATGCTTCCGTAATGTTCTATTCCTTCGATGTGAGTCTAGTTAAACGATCCTTATCCGAGAAATAAAGGCGAAAATAACAAGCGATAAAAGCACATGTATGCCGAGGTTTGACCTAGTGTCGAATGACAACACCTCGGCGCAGACTGGGCCTAGTGCACAGGACACCTAGCATTTACATGGCTCCCCTAAAATGTTTGTCATTTTAACCAAAACAAATCTTACTCTAACTCGTTTAGAATACTAGAATTGCTAAGCGTTCTAGACATCCTGTTTCTGTAACATCACAGTTCCTCAGGCTCCTCGTCGGGGATTCCCGGTCTATCCTTAGGTGACTCTAGCAACAGCACAAGTTTATTGACTGGTCGATCCAATACTGATCCAGTTCCGGTTTGAACAGTCACCGATCTGACTTGGCCTTCATCATCACGACGTGTGGTAAGCACTTAAGCCATAGGCCACTTATTCCTACAAGAATTGTTGTCCTTTAATAGAACAATGTCGCCTTCCGTGAAGTTTCTTCTCTTGTGTGTCCACTTTTGTCTCAACTGTAGGATCTGAAGATATTCTTTACTCCATCTACTCCAGAATTCGTTAGCAATATGCTGTACGCGTCTCCAGCGACGTTTGCAGTAAGTATCTTCTCGTTGAAACTTTCCTGGAGGAGGGAGAATGAGCTTGGTTTTACCAGTGAGGAGGGTACTTGGCGATAGTGGCAACGGTGAGAGCGGATCACTTAAGGTCTCGGTAGTCAGAGGACGACTGTTGACAACAGCTTCAGCTTCACATAACAAAGTTCGCAACGATTCATCGTTTAAGCTGTGACCATGCTGTTTCATAAGTGCTGCCATGATGTTCTGCACGGACCGAATTTGTCGTTCCCAAACGCCTCCGAAATTACTTGCAGTAGCAGGATTTCTGATCCAATCAATGTTCTCCTTAAGCAACTCTGCCTTAATTTTCTCATCATCCATTTCTTGAAGTGCTGCCTTTAACTCGTTTTCGGCCCCAACAAAATTAGTCCCCTGGTCACTGCGAAGTTCTCTTATTGGTCCTCTACGACAGGTAAAGCGCCGTAATGCTTGTAAGAATGAATCTGTTTCCAGGGAGTGGGCTACTTCGATATGTACCGCACGACTGGCCAAACAAGTAAATAGGGCTCCGTACCTTTTAACTTCTTTCCTGCCTTCTTTGACATACCACGGACCAAAGTAGTCCACTGCACAGTATGAAAACTGTGGCGCGGGTTCAACACGGGAACTTGGGAGGTTGGCCATTTTCTGTTCTCCAAAAGTACCACGGAGATGTCGACACGTGACGCACCTTATTCATGGTATTTAGTGGCAGTGCATGATCAACGAAAATAAAAAATACCCCAAGGCCCAGATACATCAGAAATCAGTATTTCGTTATCACTTGAAACAGCCACAAACCAGGGCTTTTGAAGAGCACATGCTGTTCTAGGTACACTACCCTGCATCGTGTAAAGAAATTTCCCAGTCAACGAAAACACTTGAACCCTTCCGTTGCCACTGTCACAGACAATCAACTGGTTGTAAGCATCAACGGCCAGTCCAGCAGGGCTATTTAACTGGCCTTCACCACACCCATAACTGCCTATGTCATACAGAAACATTCCTTCATTGTTAAAGACTTTTACGCAATGCTGTCTAATATATGAAGCAAAAAACGTCCCATTTTTGTGAAAAACAAATTCGGGAGAGTCGTTACATTTGGGTGGACTAAAGGACTGCAGTAAGATTTTTCCGTCAGGGGAGAGGACTTTGATTGTGTTGTCACCTAAATCACATACGATGACCTGACCGTCACCCTCAGTTTTAACGAACACGCTGAGTGGCCTTACAAGGTGCTTACTAAAGCCTCTAATGAAAAGCCCACTTACAGTAAACACGGACATTTGCTCTTCATGGGCACTCCATTCGTGAGTAAATACGAGGTCATCATTCCTTAAGAAAGCAAGTGACAAAGGATGACCAATGCTCACCCTATTTCCCCCTATCTTTTGGCTGTGCGTCCATTGCTTGTCAAACAGAAGAATGCGACTGTCACTATAACTAGCTACAGCGATCTCACCTGTACTCTTGTTCAAAGCAATACTCCAAGGCATTCCGAATGAATCCTGTCCAGATTGTAAACGTTTGAATTCTAGACGATGTGGGATCACTACAACCTTCCAGGGACTATTATTGAGAGGGCATCCATTCACCTCGATCGTAACTTGGCATAAAGCATCCGTTCCTAGTTTGTAGCAAACTCTGTAACTTCCATCTTTGCAATCATCAATACCTTCACCGCGAGAAAGTCGAAATACCCTGCTGTTCTTGTCTTTCTCCTCCGAAATAGAGACTTTCACAGAAACTTCGTCTTCTTCGCTATAATACTGACTTCCTTGTGAACCACAAGTGAAAATTGTAAAGACAGATTCAGAACCTTGTTTTGCTTCCTTGAGACCTTTTCCGTCGGCCCATGACTTTGAAGGATCAGTATGACTTGCGACTATTTTGCCCAGCTCCAAATGTCTTGACACATTCAAACTTTCTTGTTTCAAAACGTAATAAGAATGCTCTGGTCTGTAAATTTCAATTCCCTGAACATTCAGATTTCCTTCATGGAGACTGAAGGCATCGTTTTCAGCCTGTAGGATTTCAAAGCAGTCACTTTTCTCCAAGACCCCTTCGTCATATTCAATAGAAGCACTCAGGTGATTTATGCGTGACTGTAAGTACTCCAGACGCGTTAAATGTTGTTTCTGTTGCATCTTGGTAAGTTC